AGAAGATTAATCAGAACTGGCTTTGACAAGCACTGTGGCATTTGGACAAGAACAAACTGGGAGGAGGGTAGAGAGAATAGTGCAACAATGAATGAGTGGAAGCCCAAAATCTCTGTAAATGTTTATGAAAATTAATAAAATATAATTATAGGAAAAAAAAAAAGATCTGAATTAGGTCCCGATATATCCTACTATTCTCATTGAAGAATTAAAACAAACCAGTGATTATAACAAAGGCCTTGAAATGTGCTGCCTAGCCCCCTTCGCCCTTTCCTTTAGATTTCGTTTGACTCGAGTGGAAGAAACATCTGAACCAAATCACACCACCGCCATCAAATTGATTCCAGCTCCTGGCAGCCATGTGCCTGGTTTCCAGGGCTGGGAAGGAGCAGGCAGCCTCATCTTTCTCTTACGGCACGGGTGGTGGATTCAAACCAGCAGCATTTTCAGTTAGGAACTCAAAACATAGCACATGACAACATCAGGTCTCGTGAAGCATCTCTTTAGTCCCAGAAGTTCCCAAAAGATAGCCTTTGCCAAAGTTTTCATTTGTTTCTAATATGTTGTTTGTTATTAGGTGCTGTCCAGTCTACTTTGACTCCTATTGTTGATTCTGAGTCAAAACAACCCCTAGCTGACCCTCCAGTGGGTTTTCAGAGGCAGTTAATGACCATTCATCTCCCATGGAGCAGCTGGGGGAATCAAACCCCATGCTTCCCAGACTGCAGCACAGCTTCTTTCCACTAGGCCACCAGAGCATAGCAACACTATATACAACAGATTTTAACTTTGCCCTGTCTTACCCAGACCTCATAATGTGTTATGCTTGAAGCTGTTATCACAGTGGCCTAATTCAGTTAAGATAGGTCAAGATACACAGATAAAATTTTCATTTCGTCTTTGCTTTCAAATTCTCACTGCCATCCATCAGAATCTGCTCACAGCTGACCTACCATGGAGTTTTCAAGGCTGTAACTCACACAGGAAGACACTGCCTAACTTTTCTTCTACCTTAGTTTACCAGGGTTGCTATTTACAAAAAAAAAAAAAAGGACAGGAAAGCCATGTTGAGTCTTTCTGGAAGCTTCGAGAATGAATGCCTGTGGCATGCGAGTGGAACCAGTCCCTGGAAAGAGCTGAGACAGTGTGTGTATGGTTCCGTAGGGAGTGTTGCCAAGGACAGTTCTTTTCAAAGAACTTGCCAAGGACTTGACAGTTCTTTTCAAAGTCTTGCCAAGGACAGTCTTTTCAGATGAAGTCACTGTGCTCCGTGGCCAGGAAGGCCACTGCACCGTTTCTTGCTGGTCTCCTGGTTCTGCTGCCTCTACTTCACTGCCACTGCTTCTCGCCATCCTAAACCAGCTTCAGGATAATACTTCTCTCTCGTTGTCTCCTGAGTCTAAGAGGTTCTCAGCACAGGGACCTTGCTCTTCTTAATGAAATAAACCTCTTTTAACCTCTGGGATGATTCCTTTTAAGCCTAGTAGGTTGGCAAAACTGTGCAATCTCCTTGTTACATTTCCATGTACCCTATTTGCATGGCCCCACTGCCACCAGGACACTGTCACTGTCCAGCTCTGACGCATAGCAAGTTATTTCAAAGACCATGGCTTGTATCAGGCGCACCTTAGTCTCCAGGGGGACACCATTGCTCTTCAGTACTTTGGAGAGGTCCCTAACAGCAGACTTTCCCATGGTAATACATCTTTTAATTTCCTGGCTACTGGTGCCAAGAGTGTTGACTGTGGAGCCAAGCAAACTGAACCTGTGAACAATCTCAGTCTCTTCTCCATCCATCCTGATGCTGCCAGTTGACCCAGTGGTGAGAATTTTTGTTTTCTTGAAACAAAAATTTCCTAAAGCTGGTTTCAGTACTATGTTTCCCTAGAGATTATTATTACTATGTTTTCCATGAGATTATTCATACAGTCCGCGAATTCAAGACAGCAGTAAAGACAAAGAGGTTTCATGATGTGAGAGTGTGTCTTTCTGTCGTGCTGCTCTAACAGAGCTCCCATGACTGGATGTCTTAGTGAACACAGCTTTTTCTGTTACAGTTTAAGAGACTAATAACGCAGACTCGGGGTGCCATCTTTAGAAGGCCAGCATTCCTTCGAGGTGGCCAGGTGACGGGCATGGCCTTCCCACGTGTCAAGGACCTAACTCTTTTTGTTTGTTTGTTTGCGTGTGTACCATCAAATCGGATCTGGCTGATACAGGAGGAGATTGCCCCTCCTTCTCTGGCAGAGCATCTGGTGGATTTGAACCGTGTATCTCTGGGATTGCAGTGCAACTTCTTGCCACTAGGCCACCAGAGTTCCCCTAAGGACCTAACTCTTAAAGGACCCAGGTCCAGTCTTAAAGGACCCAGGTCCACTCCTCAGGATTGGTGTCTCAGAGGTCCATTCCTCCTCCTCTCAGCTCACATTCTTCTGCTCTTTGCTCTTTTCTCTTCCACCATGACGGGCCACACACCATGAAGTCTGTTGATGTTGAGCTGAGACTTTTAACTTAGGGCTGTAATGGGATTAAGTGGTTTTACATTACCAATCCTTTTGTCCCAGTCTGATTAATCAGATCATGGGGGGGGAGTACTGCATCCTTCCACATTATATATCATTTGTTCTTGAGGTTAGGGGTTGTCCTTTCAACCCGGACTCATAGTGACCCAAAGAACAGCAGATCTGTACCTCACCCTCTTCTGCGCCATCCTAAAGATCTCTGATGTGGAGCTCAATGTTAGAGTTGCTGTATCAGTCCGTGTTGTTGAGGGTCTTTCTTTCCCTCATTGACCCTCCGCCTTTCCCAAGGTGCCTTTCCTCCAGTCTTTCCCAAGGACTGACTTCTCCAGACATCATGTCCAAAGTATGTGAGATGAATTTTCACCGTCTGTGGATCACCGTGGTTGCACTTTCTCCAACGCAGACTTGTTTCTTCTTTTGCCAGCCCATGAGCTATTCAATATTCTTCTCCAACACTACAATTCCAAAACATCGATTCTTTTTTCTTTTTTTTTTCCTTCTTGTGTACCGTCAAATCAGATCTGACTGATACAGGAGGAGATTGTCCCTCCTACTCCAGCAGAGCATCTGGGGGATTCGAACCGTGAGCTTTCGGGATTGCAGCGCAGCTTCTTGCCACTAGGCCACTGGAGCGCCCTTGAAACCTCGATTCTTATGTTATTACATATCTGTATTTTGTGGGGACACACTTCAGTCCATGACAGGGAGGGTATCTGGCAAAGGAAATAGAAGCCTTAAGTTTGTGCAATTGGATTCAGACTTGAGTTCAAATTTCATACCAGATGTCCTCAGGGAAGAAGTTTAATGTCTCTGTAGATATTCTGTGCTGTTAAAATTACTGGAAATAGCTTTCCAGTCCTCCTTCAGACACAGATACTGTCACAAGGTTGATGTCCAAGAAGAACAGGATTACCGTATATGAACTCCTTTTGAAGGAGGGATTGGCACCCTGAATTGACAGACAAGAACATGCCGAATCTTCATGTCCTGAAGGCCGTGCAGGGTGTCAAGACATGAGGCTGCGGGAAGGAGCAGTTCACCTGGACACTTTCTACGTGTTCCTTCCCAGCAAGGGTGTCCAGTGTCTGCACGATTACCTCCACCTGCCCCCTGACATTGCGCCCACCGCCTTGCGCTGAGGCCACCCTCAGTCTGGCAGGGGACAGCCTGAAGGTCTGGAAGGTGAAGGACCTGCAAGACTAACCCAAGAGGCTGACAGAGACACATAGAGACGCAGCCTAGGGGCTCGAAAGCCAAGCCTGGGGCTGGGTCAACAATGGAATTCGAGTTAGAGGCGGACTTGATAGTGAACATGGTCAGACCCCTGAGCAATAGCTGTTTGTATTGAATAAACGTGCTGTTGTTGTTGTTGTTGCTTCTGAGTGCCTTCAAGAAGAGCAGGACTCAGCGAGCTCTGGTGGCCTAGGTGGCAGGAAACTGCACTGCAATCCCAGAGGTGCGCGGTTCAAATCCACCAGATGCTCTGCTGAAGAAGGAGGAACAATTGCCTCCTGTACCATTTATCAAAGTCATAGGGTTTCTGGAGGCATGCTATTTATTTAGGAAGTGAATGCTACTCCTGCTTCTAAACCTATCATCAAACATGTAGCCAGTGGCGGGGGTGGGGGGGAGAATAAATGGCTGAAAATAATGATGTAATTTAGAAGACACCTTAGTCTCCAGACTGACCTCATTGCTCTTCAGTACTTTGGAGCAGTCTCTGACAGCTGACTTGCTCTGACAGCTGACTTTTCCAGTGCAACTCATCTTTTAATTTCCTGGCTGCTGGTACTAAGAGTGTTGACTCTGGAGCCGAGCAAACTGAACCTGGTAACAGTCTCAGTCTCTTCACCATCCATCATGATGCCGCCAATTGGCGCAGTGCTGAGAATCCGTGTTTTCTTGATGTTGACCGTCAATCCATGTTCAAGGCTGCCGTCCTTGACCTTGTGCAGCAAGCTCTTCAGGTCCTCCTCAATTTTTTTTTTTAATTTGTGTATAATAAAATGAACAATGATATGACAAATGAAGCATTGTAATGATTTTTTTTTAATTTTTATTGTATTATTTTTACGTGTACTGTCAAATCAGATCTGACTGGTACAGGAGGAGATTGCCCCCTCCTTCTCCAGCAGAGCATCTGGTGGATTTGAACCACGTACCTCTGGGATTGCAGTGCAGCGTTTTGCCACTAGGCCACCAGAGCTCCCTGTAATTATTTTTTAAGTAACAGTGAGTGCTCTTTAAACTGAGGTAGCCATTGGGTACTGTCATAGACTGAAGTGTGTGTGTCCCCCAAAATATAGATGGTTTTGTGTTGTTACGTGCCATCAAGTCACTTGCGACTCATAGCGACCCTATGTAGATAGAGAAAATACAGAAGCGATGTAATGGTCCCCACAATCTGATAAACCAAATCGTTGTGAAGGATTAAGCGTAGAATGCAGCACTGCTTAATCCCATCGCAGGCCAAGTGTGATGTGTGATGCTCACCCTGGTGTGCGGCCTCGGATACCTTCATCTCCCTGGAGAGAGCAGGGGAAGAAGTGGAGCCAAGAGGAGGCTCAGCCCCCCACGAAAGCAGCACCAGAAGAGGAACGGGTCTCTCTGGACCTGGCCCTCCTGCTCCTTACCACTGAGGAAGGCCGAGACACTCCAACATCTCCAGAGAACACAAGCCTTCCCCCCAGAGCTGGCACCCGACTTTGGACTTTATCCTCCCACCCGGTAACCGAGCCCTGGTGAACTCGTTTGTCCCTGGGGCGTGCTGCTAATCCGGAGGCCACACGCCCTGGCGGTTTGACTCCAGGAACAGCTCCGAGGGAGAAAGATGAGCATCTTCTGGCTTGTTTATAGCCCTGGAAACCCAACAGGGGGTGAGCTGCGAGGAAGTTCTGACAGAGTGGGAATGAGAAGGAAACTGGGCTGGGGGATGCCAGGGGCTGTTAGACCAAGTCTAAGTCTAGCCCTAGCCCTAACCCCGTGAACAGGAGATCGGAACCTGCCCTGTGCAGAACCGTCCTCGGGGTCCCCACTGCACTCAAGCCCGTTGTTGCAGTCACCACCGACGACTCATTGTCAATGTCAATGTCATTGCCAAAGTCTCCATCCATTTCATTGCGTGTCTTCTGCTCTTTCACTGACTCTTTGCCTGTACAGAGAAACTGAGAGACTAAATTTCTGTTCGTCAGAGCCATCCCGTAGTCTTGCCTCTGTTATATCAGCAGTAAACAAGTCAGGTATATAAAGACTTGATGCGGTATGTAGAACACTTGGGTTTGGGGTTTTTTTTGCTGTAAAGATTTTCCGCCTCTGAAGCCCAGTGGGGGGAGCGTGTGAGTTGGACTGGAGGCTGTGGTGTGGGTTTGCTTTGGGTTTTAACTGTTTGGGAAGCAGACGGCTGCATCTTTCTCCTGCAGAGTGACCGGTGTGTTTGAGACACCCCACTAACAGATAAGCCACTAAACAATCAGTGAACCACTGGGTCCCTTAGAAGGAACACCTATTCAAAATTCATTTCCTCTTCAGTCTACAGAACCTGGCTATGCAGCAGCGAGAAAGAAAGGAAGGAAAAAGCAAAGAGATTTCAGATTTGGACACCACCATTTCTCCATGGAACAGGAGACTAAAATTTTGAGCAGAAGAACATGGTAACAGATGCAGAAGAGTCAAAAGACAGAATGCACGTTCTTGTCCATTTCCTCACTGCCAAAGATGACTGAGACCCAGGTGATTCTTGTTAGGTTTTCCTTTGCTCCTTAGCAAATTTGTGGTAACTCAAAAAACAAACAAACCAACAAAACCATGTCAGTTCAATTATAGAAAAAGTTATAATTGGGATTGGGGGTGTGGGGGGGAAACAATGTGGACTGTAGCTTCAAAGTCAAGGCAAAGTAGAATTAGGCAGTCATACTAAATGAACTCATATTAATTCATGGGGGAACACGGTGTGTGATTGTATTTGGGACCTGTGTCTGACATGCGCTGTCACCGTACGTCTAACATTTCCAGTAGCCATCCCAACCAGAGAAACAGGCAGTGGTGCAGAAGACCCACTAACTTTGCAAAGAAAATAGAGCCATTCCTTAGAGGATGTCAACTGGATTTAGGTTTTGAGTTTTGAGAGTGCTTTGAGTGAAGGTTTATAGAGCAACTTGGTTTTGCATTCAGTTATTCAGGAAGGTTTTGTTTCATGACATTAATTACAGTTCTGGTATTAACACTGCATGTTGTTGTTGTTGTTGTTGTTGATTGCTGTCAAGTCAAGCACGACTCACAGCGACCCTATGTACAAAAGACCTTAAGCCTTTTTCTAACTTAGACGAAGCCTCAGATCAAGGGCTGGACAATGGGAGATGTTAAAGGGAGTGGGTAGAAGTGGATGGGTATCCTGGTGGATGGTGCAGCAGGGAAATAAGTGGGTAAAGACGCTTGTGCCCAAGGCAGGGACAACACTGATTCTAATGGTTAACCCCACAATAAGGGATATATCTTTCACTCTTTCTGTAAAATGCTTGTCTGTCGGATACTTCTCTAAATCTGAACATTCAGATTAAGACAGACTAGGAAGAGAGATTGGCCACCCGCTTCTGAAATAGCAGGCCTCTGATAAACCCTGTGTACAAAAAAGCACTCCATAAGGGTGTTAATGTTTTTCCTCACTGAGTTTTTAGGAGTTTTAGTGGGTGTTGTGCGGCCGACCCAGAGAACATTCAAATCCACCAGCTGACCCTCGGGAGAAAGATGAACAGTGTCTTCCCGTGTGACTTGCAGCCTCCCACAAACCCACTGCGAGTTGGTTCCGACTCAGTGACAGTGAAGTTTGGAGGTTTTAGGACATTTTTTTGGATGGGTTTGCCTCATGGTGGGATGTTAGGTGCTGCTCTGTCAACAGCCTGCTGATAAAGCTAAAGCTTTGAGAAACTGCTTTGGGAATATATGAAACACACCCCCGGTGGAACCCAGGAACCTTGCTGCTGGATTGATTCCAGGTCACAGCAGCCTATACCTGCAGCGCAGAGCAGGACCCTCTAGGGTTTCCAAAGAGATGACTCTTTACAGAAGCCAGATTGCCACCTATTGTGGATTCAAACCACTAACCTTCTGGTTACCTTCAGGGTGATTTAACCAGTGCTCCACCAGAACTTATCATCTTGGGTGTATTTGCAGGAACTAGAAAGCCAGGTGAATCATTGATCCAGCCTCATGACAGCCAGGGTTTCTCCACAAAGGAAACCTAAAGCGAACTAGGCAAATAGAAGGATTACGTAACTTGTGAATGGTCCTCTGATCAGACAGTTCGAGTGGATTTTCAGTCGACATCTGTGGCTGTTTTTGGGGGGCTGTCAAGTCCAGTTTGATTCCTAGCAACTGAAAACAATAGATCTGAACCCTCTCCTACGCTGTGCGTCTTCACAGTCCCTGGCCCGCTCAGGCTCACCCACTGTGCTGCCGTCACTGTGTCAGTCCACCTGGCTGCTGGTCCCCTTCGCCGGCCCTCCACTTTCCCAAGCCATTTAGCAGCAGTGAATTGGCGGTATTGTGGTAAACTGACAGCCTTTTCATTAGCTGTTATTGTGTGCAGTCGAGTTGGAACTGGCCCATAGTTGACGCTCCACTGCGCTTTCAGATTGCACATCCTTCTCCCACGGAGCAGCTGGTGGATTCGAACTGTGTGCCTTTGGAATTGCAGCCCAGCTTCTTCTCACAAGGCCACCAAGAGCTGTTGGGGACACTGAGGGACCTTTAGCATGTCTCAAAGATCCAAACCCACCACCACCAAGTGAAGTCCAACTCCTAGCAGCTCTCCTTCAGCTCTTCAAGGCTCGAAGTCTAGGTGGGAGGTGCCTGTCCATCTTACCCACACTGATCAGAGAGTGGATTTGAACCACTGACAGTTCACAGACCAACACATAGCACACCACCACCTGAACTCCTTAGTATGTTGTTGTTATGTGCCGTCAAGTCGCTTGTGACTCATAGCGACACCTATGTACAACAGCGCTAAGCCCTGCTCTGTCCTGTGCCAATCTCACTGTCTCCAATACACCCACCCCGATTTCCCTAGTCACTGAGTCAACCCACCTCATAGAGGGTCTTCCTCTCCTGCACTGTCCCTCCACCCTCCCAGGCATAACATCCCTCTTCAAGGTCCGGTCCCTCCTTGCAACATGTCTACATGTATGCCAGATGAAGTTTCAGAATTCTTGTCTCCAAGGAGCAGCCTGATTTAACCCTCTCTAGGATAAATGTGTTCTCTTATCAGTCCATGGTATATTCAATATTCTTCTCCAGCACCACAGCTCAAAGGCATCAATTCTTCTTCTATCCTCCGTAGTCATTGTCCAACTCTCTGATGCATAACAAGTGATTGCAAAGACCATGGCCTGTCTCAAGTGCACCTTGGTATATAGGTTTGTTATGATGTGCCATTGAGTTGGAACCAACTTAACAGCTGAGCCTCCAGTAGATTTTCAGAGGCCGTAAATCACATGGAAGGGGAACGCTCATCTCACTCCCATAATGCCACTGGTGAATTCCAACTGCCTGTCTCCCCCACCACTCCCCCAGATGCCTCTGTTTGAGTTGGTAGCACAACTCTCTACCCCCCAGGCTGTCTGGGCTCCAGATGTATAGAGAGAAATTTTTGGTGCCACAGTGTGTTTGTAAAACAGAGAGAGAGAGAGATACTGACTGACTGACTCTGTGGTATAAGTTAGCAGAGTAACTTCCTTTAAATTTTTTTCTTTATCAGTATCAAGGATTGAAAGCTCATTAAACATCCTGTGTTATTGTAGGGGTTCCTGACATTGGAGGATGTGTCTGTGAGCTTCACGTGGGAGGAGTGGCAGCTCTTGGACTTGACTCAGAAGAAACTCTACCAGGACGTGATGTTGGAGAATTATAACAACCTCCTATCGCTGGGTAAGAGCAACTTGCCCAAAAGGTGCCCAGTCTTTTCCTTCTCAGCTGCCTTCTCTCCCTTCTTTGACCCCGAACAAGGACTTTAAATACTCTCTGTTGTGGAAAAAGACTCTTCATGTTGCAGCAGAGAAATTGTTTCACTATCTTCTTGAATATTGAATAATGTTGAATATTAATTGTAATCTTGAGTATGTTGAAACTCTCGTCTACTTTAGTATAGCTGAATCTCTGATCGTTTCTCACAAACCAGGGTATCACAGTGGTAAACCAGGCACACACTGCAGACTGGATCAAGGCAAAGGGCCACGGATGATGGGAGATAAAACCCACCAGGTAACTCTCCCAGGTGAGCAGTGGAAACCCACGAGGGTCGTGGCCTTGTGAATTTTACTCTGAGAGGGTGGAGGGACAGCGCAGGAGGGGAAGGCCCTCTATGAGGTGGATTGATTCAGTGACTGGGGTAATCAGGATGGGGGTGTCAGAGACAGTGCGATTGGCTCAGCACAGAGCAGGGGTTAGGGCTGTTGTATATAGGGTCGCTGTGAGTCACAGGTGACTCGACAGCACATAACAACAACAACAACATTCAGGGAAGACACCTCAGTGGTGAAAATGTGTGAGGGTCCCCAGATAGCCCTTCTACCTGTCCTCTGGCCCATGTGAGACCTTCTTTGTGGGTGTGTAGAAAAAAAATTAGACTCCTAATGCCTGACTTCTTTTAGCTCTTGATTTTTTCTCTTGGTTTGTTCTCTTATATTGGGATTGTATGGTCAGGTAGCCCACACCAGCTTATTTTTTAATGTATTTATTCCATGTTGTTCTCTTCTTTCCTAGAAATCAGGGAAATTGATGGTCCTCTGAAAGAGCACTTTCAATACCACAACTTTGTCAAAAGACTAAAACAAACCTGTGACCAGAATGCAGTTGAAAATGCTATTTTTCTGGGCAAAATTCCTTTTCCCCTAATGCAGAAGCAGATAGCTGGCTTATATAATAGACAAACTTTGAAATCACCCTTAAGTATTGCAAGCCAGAACAGAAGATCTGAAATAAAGAGTTCTGCTGGATTGAACAAAGCTGAACAAAGCTTTCCACATACAAGGGACAAACAAGTTCAGGTTGAAATGCAGTTCCCTGAAACCACAAAACGCACCGGCACTGAATCCCAAGTCCTAAACTATCAGAGGAGGCTCGAGGTGGAGCAAGCCCAAGCCCGTGTGGAGTGTGGGAAAGCCTGCAGGCCTTGTCACCTCGCTGACCAACAGCACCTCCCTTCTGGAGGCAAACCCCCTGGATGTAGCCAACGTGGGCGAGTCTGTCGGAATCCCTCACCCCCCAAACGTCCGAGATCTCAGGCAGAGGAATCCCGCCCGGCGGAGGAGTGTGGAAGAGGCAGCTCGGTGAGGAACAGCTGCTCCTTGCCCCTGCAAACCCCCCTGGAAGACAAGCCCCATATCTGCAGCCAGTGTGGGAAAGGCTTCTCGCAGAAGCGCTATCTGCGGGCGCATGGGCGCACGCACTCGGGCCAGAAGCCCTTTGTGTGTGGGGAGTGTGGGAAAGGCTTCACGGTGAACCACAGCCTGCTCGTGCACCGGCTCCTGCACACGGGAGAGAGGCCACACGTGTGTGGCGAGTGTGGGAAAGGCTTCACCATGAGGCGCTACCTCGTGGTGCACCGTCGCATGCACACTGGCGAGAAGCCCTTCGTGTGCACTGCGTGCGGATGGGGCTTCACAGCCAAGAGCAACCTGGTGGCGCACAGGCGCTCACACACCGGGGAGAAGGCGTTCGCCTGCAGCGAGTGTGGAAAGGGCTTCACCGCCAAGCGCACGGTCCTCCTCCACCAGCGGACCCACTCGGGGGAGAGAGCCGTCTGCGGCGAGTGTGGCAAAGGCTTCTCCACCCAGCGCGCGCTGGTCATCCACCGGCGCACCCACACTGGGGAGAAGCCCTACGTGTGCGCCGAGTGTGGCAAGGCCTTCAACCAGAAGGTCTGCCTCGTGCACCACGAGCGAGCGCACACCGGAGACACGCCGTTTGTGTGCGCCGACTGCGGAAAGGCCTACTCGCACAAGTACAGCCTCGTCACCCACCAGAGGAGTCACACGGGTGAGAGACCCTATGCGTGCCAGGACTGCGGGAAGGCCTTCGCCATCAGGTCTGCCCTCACCGTGCATCGCAGGATGCACACCGGGGAGAGGCCGTACTCATGCCCCGACTGCCTCAAGGCCTTCTCCTACCTGTCCAACCTGGCAAAGCACCGAAAGACGCACACGGGGCGAGGTGGGGCCGGCGCCCAGGTGGACGCTTCCTGAGCCAAGAGCCAAAGTGCCCTGCGTACAACAGAGAGCGTGCAGGCACCCAGGGCAAACAGCTGTGTGGACACGGAGACTGTGGCAATGTTGCTATGGTAGTTCACCTGTCTTTAAACACTAGTGGTTTTCTAGAGGATTGAAATGTAGTCCATAGCGGTGGTGGTTTGTACAGTCGAGCCAAACCAACCCATCCTGAGCCTCCCGCAGGTGTCCAAAAGCAGTGAATCGCACGGGAGGAGACTGTCCATCCTTCTCCCACAAAGCTGGATTCGAACTGACTCGCCTTTGCATTGGCCACACAGACTCTTACCACTAAGCTGCCACAGCTCCTAATAGAACCACTGTCGTTTGCTGGTGGCCTAGGGGCAAGGAGCTGCGTGTGCTGCAATCCTGAAGGCACACGGTTTGAATCCATCAGCTGCTCCCCAGGGGAAGGAGGCTTAGCCTCCTGCGACGGACTGCCTCTGAAGACCCACTGGATGGTCAGCAAGGGGCTTGACAACACACAGCAACAGTGTTGAGGAAGACTCCCCACCAGATGGACTGGCTCACCGGGCTCCAACATCACAACACTCGAGAAGAGGGGCCGGGCCCGGGTATGGCCCATTCAGGCCTCCAGGCAGTCGCTGTGACCCAGAATCCTCCCACCGGCCCCTGACTCTTCACAGTGTGAGATGCTCACACCTCAGGATGTTAAGGGATTTTGCCCAGGAGAGAAACCTTTCTGCAGCGGCGAATTTGGTAGCCCCACTAATAATAAACCCATTTTTTCTACCAGTGAACAGCACAGAGGGAGAAGTTGGTTCATTCAGTGTGGGAATACCCTCCGTTAAAAACTGTCCGAACACAGAATCCATATTAAAGTAGAACCCACAATAAAACTCAGAACTCAAACACACTCCTCTTGTGTCACAACTGATTGAGAGCTGACACACCAGCAGGTTTTCAGAGGCTGTAAATAATCAAATGGGAAGAGAGGGCCTGTCTTCCTCCCTTGGAACCAGTGGTGGATTCGAACTGCCAGAGAGAGAGGCACCACCTTGTTGGGTGAGCACAACTCCCTACCCAATAGGCTGCCAGAGTTCCCAGGTAAAAGTGCTGTTCTGACAATAAACTGCGCCGCAATCCTGAAGGCGTGTGGTTCGAATCCACCAGATGCACCACTGGAGAAGGAGGAACAATCTCCTCCTGTGTCGGTAGGCTCTCATGTCTCTGTGGTAAACAAGAGAGAGAGAAAGAGGAAATAAAGTGCTGTTATCTAAAAAGAAGATCACAATAAAATGTCAGAGAACTCACCCTGGTGGAACACTAAAGAACAATAATGAATAGGACGGTATTTCAGTAATGCCCTTTCCCAGGTCTGTTTGTCACAAAATGATATAAACAGTAGCTCTAGCCATCAAGTTAAATGTGGAGCACCAGTAGCAAAAATACCAAAGAATTCATGAACATGGAGGCAGGCCTGTGAAACACTACATGCTTCTGTGCATTTTGTTGCAACTCTGGACAGCAGGTTGTTTTTGACATGCATTTTCAGACCCGACAACTTGGAGCATCATCCCTTGTTGCTTTGACATTGCTCTACGTTTCTAAAAGTGCCCTGTTCCCACATTAGTGATTTTTAAAAAAAAAAATAGTATTTTTTTGTGTGTGTACCGTCAAATCGGATCTGACTGGTACAGGAGGAGATTGCCCCTCCTTCTCCAGCAGAGCATCTGGTGGATTCGAACCACGTACTTCTAGGATTGCAGTGCAGCTTCTTGCCACTAGGCCACCAGAGCTCGCCTCATAACTGATTCTTAATATCAGATGTATTACAAGAGGATCCTATAACTTTTTTAGCTTTTCTGTTTCTTCAGCCCTCAGTTTCTTTAATTGTGAATTTATTTACTACAGAAGTACTTGGAAAATGAACAGGTTTTTTGTTTTTGTTTTTTTTTAATTGTGCTCAGCATAACAAAACATACACCAAATTAAAGAATTTTTACATATTTAATTCAGTTAAATTGATTACATTCTTCAAATTAGGCAAGCATTCCTGCTCTTTTCCAACTATTCTCTTACCTGACACCCACTGGCTCCTTAAAAAATATCGCCTGTTCTCCTATCCCTGAAAACAAAATTGTAACAACAGTTCTGGAAAGGCTTAATTACCTGGCTTTTTACCATGACCAAAGAAATTTATAAAATAACCCTAAATGGTATTTGTGTGTGTGTGAGTGTACAGTGAAATCAGATCTGACTGGTACAGGAGGAGATTGTCCCTCCTTCCCCTGCAGAGCATCTGGTGGATTTGAACCGTGCGCCTCTGGGAGTGTAGTTGCAGCTCCTTGCCACTAGGCCACCAGAGCTCCCCTCCTAAACGCTAGTTTTAGGAAAGGTTTAATTTCACATAACTTAAAGCTGGTAGGAAATTGCAGAATTCAGAGACTTCAATACCTTTCCCCCAACTTCTTGCAGTGTAAACATGCAACCATATTTCATTTTGAAAATCATGAAAATGGCATGAGGAGATGACTGCTGGTTACTAATTTTATCTGGCTTTGACTCACTGTCATCGTTGTCAAGTTAGAACAAACTCCTAGCTGACACTCCATTGGGTTTTGGGTTTGGTTTGTTGTTTTTTTGTGGTTTTTTTTAGACTTAAATCAAGAGTTTTATTACGTATCAAGATAGATATTTGGCAGCTTAATTGCAAAAACTCATTGAAAAATTTGTAAGTACACAGAATGGAGAAGTTTTTAATTATAACATGTTAGAGATAAACGATCTATCTAAAAATAATAGATGGTAGTTTGCTATAATAGCTATTTTCTCCATTGGTGTTTTTGAAGGTTTTAATTGCACAGTCAACACTCTTGGCACCAGCAGCCAGGAAATCAAAAAACGAATTGCAATGGGAAAGTCTGC